CATTTCAGCAATATATATAACAGCTATATAACATTTTAGTAACATGTTATGTTTCTGTTATACAGTTGCAATATCGTTTGAAAGTGGGAAATTACAACTAACGTGTATGTTACATGTAACAAACATGTTATATTGCATATTACATTCCGTTATATTATGACGATGTAACTGTTATATTATTGTGTTTACTGGGAGACATCTGTGCTCCTATATGATACGGTCCTTTCAAAGATGGCCGCCCAGTATTTTTTCCAACCACTTGCTAAATACGGGTATTAGCAGTCTAGTTTATATATGGAAGTCTGTGGTATACACAGAATACATACAGAGAATACATTGTGAAATTATTTTCAAAATATATTATTGATTATTTGGTCTGTGATATTTTTTACTCTCTCTCTCTCTCTCTCTCTCTCTCTCTCTCTCTCTCTCTCTCTCTCTGTCTCTCCCCTACACATAGTATACGTATGGTTACGGTTTGGATACTTTCAGATACTTTCTTCTCTCGATGCATGGACGTAAGAATATATGGACGGAGCGAATTGTCGCGAGGTTAAAGCCCAAGGGGGTTCAATATAATACAATGATTGTATGTATTGTAATAGAATTGCGGTACCAAGATGGCGACGGTCGCTGTTTTTATACACTGAAAATAGATACAAACTCTGGCACGAACACGGCCGCGACGATGTAATTCTCTTGCCCCTTGGACTTCACAGCCTCTCGTCTATAATCGCACTTTTCGCTCCGTCTATGTATTCTTATGTCCATGTCTCGATATAATTAGAAACGCGGTCAAGTATCCAATAAAAAAAAGCTCCTTCTTGGACAGTTTCTAAAAGTTAAATTCCCTCATTGGACATTGGCTGTGTTCCATCGAAAAAAAACAGAATATCCGTATCGAGAAACCGAGTATACAAGTCTCCACTATATCTATCCATCATTTCACAATGTATTCTTTTTTTTCTTATAACATTTAAATCTCATCGTTTGAGATAGTGTCGTTTAGTCATTTTTTTATGTAGTTTGCGAAAATAAAAAGAGAATTTGTCAGAAGTGGGATTCGAACCCACGCCCACAGAAGTGGACTGCGACCTGAACGCAGCGCCTTAGACCGCTCGGCCATCCTGACGATGTGTTGCCACTTGCTTGCCAAGTCTGAAGGTGGCACCTTTATGAATTTATTGTAGAGAAATTTGAGCTGGAACCAGTTTCTTTACTATCTCGCCCGTATCTTGATGTAACTTTAAGAATACATTACAGACGGTTATTGATTCGTAAAAGGTCGCGTGTTACAGGTCCTGAAACTGTTGCGTCATTGAAATCTTCAGTTGGTCAATTCCTTGAATTCTGAAACGATTACTTGATTCTTGAACCAAGACTTTCGTGTCGTATGCTTGAGTTTTGAAATTTATGAACAACGCGATCTTTAGACTTTGTTTCTTTTTTGTTTCCTTCTAAATTATTGAGAATGTAAACAATAGCGCAAAAATGCTACTAGATCAATTATCAAAGAGAACGATACGTTTAGGGTCGTAATTGAACGTAATCTTATGCGCGCGCAAAGGAAACTTCTATCTGCCGAAAATACTCCGAGACAAGCGCGACGCGTGGTCGCATCTATCTTAACGTAACATCTGAAAAGAGAGACACACATATGAGCTTGGCTATATTTGTGATCGTGTCGGCGTGGATGATGTAAGCTCGTAGTGATTTCGAGAGAGCCGCGATTGCTCGTCGCTAACTGATCACTACGATCAGGTCGATCCTTTCCTCGCCTCTCGCTCTGGTGTTTTCTTTCCTGTTTCTTTGCGGGCCATGATAGAAGAGGTCTGGGACTACGTTGGCGAAAAATGGGAGCACATTGACCACTCGGTGAGCCAATCTCCTCCCTTCTCCTTCTCACTGTCGGCCAACGGAATTTCACGATCCGAAACGTTGTTCGAGAAACTGTCAGTTCTTACAGAAAACTGTACTAACAAGAAATATTAATGCTAATGAGAATCCAAATATAACAAGCCCTGTCCTTTACGCGCGTTCCCGTTAACACGGAGAAAGTAGATATCGGCAATATTCCTGAAAAATTATATATTTGTCTTTTTATTTACATTTTAACGGTATATAGGAAAATAGCCATTCGTCGACGAAACGGATGAAGCGGAATAAATACACATACTCTTCTTACGACTTCTTATCGTTATGCAGAAAAATATGCGTGGTGAGATCGTAATAATATTGACACTTGAAGTGGCTGCATTTCAGAAATAACAAAAACTAATTAGGATATTTGAGGTATATTATAGAGGAAAACATCACTGCACTCTGTATTCGCGCTTCTTTACCGTTGTTACGTCATTGCGTGCCTAAATAATCCGCGTGATTTCAAGTTTAGGCAAATTCTGAGACGCGTGCGAGATAAGATCTATCCTGTTTGCTTCGTTAAGCAGCTCGCGATAAACACCCGTAAGTACCATTTCCGGAAAGGAGATTACTCGAAAGCGGTCGCGTTATCTAATCTCTGGCTTGCGAAGAAAAATTACCGTTTATAATCGGGAGGTATGTGCGTGTGTGTGTGTGTGTGTGTGTGTGTGTACTCATTTGAATCATTGATAAATGCTAACCTTCGTGCACTGAGATTATTTTTACGCATAAAAATTTAGTATTTCGTGCTCTTTTATGTCGACATATGAACCGAAAGAGGTCAGGTTGAAGTAACTCTTTCGAAGCGATGTAAATAATAAATAATAATAAATAATAATGTAATTGTCGTACGACACAATCGTTGGTATATAAATGTTTAATTAACAATGTTAAAAATAAACTCAGAATTAATGTTTCAGTGCATTCAACAGCGTATTTACTTTCTTTTCATTTGGGACATCTTTTAGGGGATTGTAGAATTTTAATGACGTTTATTTCCTTCAACATTAGTCGCGACACTCAATTGACACTTGCGTGCGCTTTATCAACAGCAATCGTAAAGAAAACGACGAAAGATGAAGCGACAGTTTCGTGAGCAAATGGCAATTAAAGATGTGTCGTTTTATTGTTAGACAATTGTCGCTTAATACAAGGTGTAACACGAGAAACTGCATTCCTTTCGCTGCTCGTACATCATATATTCGCTTTTTGAGAATCGCAATTTTTGTGATTACTACGTTTACAAATAATTGCAAATTATTACATTCCAAAATACAGTACAGAGAATTCAGAAAAAATTTAGTCGTATATCACCAATTCTGAGTTTATTTTCAGATGCAAAAAGAATTCTTCAAAGTTCAATTCATTGAAAAGAATTCTTTTTACGTTTAAAAATAAACTCAGAATTGGTGACATACGACTAAATATTTTTTTAATTCTCTGTGTTATCTGAGTTATCATTAAATTGAACAAGTCAAGCCCGAGGCTCGGAAATAGCGGAAGAAAGTTCGTTTGCAATTAACTCGTTAACTGTCGTTAACGACAATGTCACTAGCACTGTGTGTATAATTTTTTCTAAAGGTTGGGTCTGACATACACACACACACACACACACACACACACACACACACACACATATATATATATATATGCGCAACGTTAACGACAACTCGTTAACAACAGTTAATAGAATCGCACTGCTGTACGAATCTTGAGCCAAGGTTTCGGACTTTTCGAGACAAGTCTCGAGATTTCTCTTACTTTGTACCAATTTATCGAAATGCAATATGATTACGTTCTCTCCCCTCTCGCGTTGATAGGCGAACAAGTCTGGTGAATTTCGTAGCGCGAATTTCCAATTAGAACAAATTGAAATTTTCGAAAAGTGTAATACATATTATAAAGTGTAATACACTCTAGCAATGTGGAGCGACCTTGCTTGGCGCCATATTGACTTTCAGTTCACACTTTTCGGGAGCGATCATTCAGATGGCGCTCTAACCATGTCAGAGAAAATTATTCCGTAATGATTTCTTCGATGGCACCACCGCCGAATCTCCCGATATCGCACTCGGGCAGTTGATAAACGTTATTTGGGCGAGAACGGGTCAAACAAAATATCAGTTCCGCGAGAAACAAGAAGGAAAGGCAACGAGACGCACGCACGCACCCCATCTGAACGGAGAGAGAGAGGGTCAAGGTCGCGAGGTCAAGGTGCGACGAGATGAAAACGAAGAACAGATCGTTGTTTAGCAAGATATGCACGTGCTGCAACAAGAAAGCGACGTCGCGGAAGCACCAGAGCGGAGATATTCGTTCGAGCACGACCGATGCTGAGGTAATTTGGTTCTTCGCGCTATACAAAAATAGCGAGGAAAAGTGTTATCGACTGTTATTGTTCGAGCGAAATCAGTACACAGAGCCTCTTTTCAATTTGATACTACCCATACAGCAAAAATCTTCAAAGGACGTTCTAAAGACATTCTAAGGACATTCATGCATCCTAAGAACGTCCCAGAATATTCTCTGAAGATTTTGTGATCTGGATATATTCGAATCGAGCTGTTCTCTTTTCGAACGCAAACGACGCAAACAAAATGATGAATAGTTTCTCCTCACTTATTGGACAATTCTGTTCACGTTGGATGTTTACAAATTTTTCAATCATACTGTACGAGAATTGTCTCTTTCAATACATAGCTACAGGCGTCTAATAAAAACTCTATATCCAACGCCACTCAACGTTAAAAGATGTGTATTATCTTGGTAATACTATCCTCCGATTAATAGATGATCCTTGATGTGTTCTTAGGAAATAATTCCAAAATATTTTCAAAAAAATCACAGATCACGTGTTCGAACACGACAGTTAAGCCGGAACTTGTACATTTCGCAAAATTAGCCGATTCAAGCGAGAAGTCGATTCGTTTATCGTAGGATGAGGATCGAAGTGTATTCAGCGTTGGATCGATCAAGTTGGCTTCAAGTCAGTCCCGAGTCAATTGAAAATCGAACTTGGCGTTAAGCAATCTCGAATGAAATGTCTTTTGTGACTTGAGATTATTCCGCTTTAAGGTTAAACGGATTAATCTCAACTGATGAAATTAAGATTTGCATGCGACAACAACAACGCGAGAGAAAGAGAGAGAGAGAGAGAAACGAGACGAGACATAGATTTCGTAAATATGTGATAACAAGGTTAATCCAGCCATTCTTTCTCGATAAGTTTTCGCCACGATGATCGACTTTTGAGCGCGTTTCATTGCATTATCTCCGTGCTGACAACGTATTCGCAACGTCATTCGACACGATCGGATTTTTTTTTTCAAGGAGAATATTTACTTCTCGCGCGAGCATGGAATACGTTCCCGGAGCGCAAGTCCGATAAAAAAATTTCGTACAATCATTATTCACTTTTTCACCGAGTCTACATAACGCGTATACATATAATAAAGCAAAGCGTCGATCGCGGTATTTGTCCTGAATATAACCAAGGAATTGAGCTGCCTAGTCTCTTGACATACGATCAATGTTCGTTCCAGGCAATCACGATGCTCGTTCGTAGATCTTATTGCCAGAGCAACGAAGATATGCACTCTAGAAATTTCCAAACAGGAAATTCGAGAGTCCCTTCACTATATTTCAAAACTAGATTAAATTAGATCATATATGGTAGAACGCTTATATATATCGCGGAGGAGAAAGTATCGGGTAAAATGCCAGTTGAATGACACGCAGAGCGTCCGTGTGAATCGTTTCCTTTTCCGTTTTTCTTTTCTCTTAAAAGGATGCTAAAAACTTGACCGAATACTGATATTTTTCTGCAAAATTTACATCGTGTTGGTACAATATTACAAATGTTTTCACTCGCAATTACAACTAAATCGGAGCGTTGCACAGCATGTGACAAAAACGAAAAACCAATTTTTTCAAATAAAATCTCGAGCCATCAGCATAATATTTGTCTAATCCAAAAGTTCCGTGGCTTATACATACCGAAAGTATGAATGTTTCAAACAGAAAAAATTTGAAGGACATTACTGTACCTTCGCATCAAAAGCTTAAGAATACTGGAAAAGTTTGCAAAAAGATTTCTACACATGCGATTTATACGTATATAAGAGATACGAAGAGGACAATCGTGTTATTATGATAATCGTTTCTACGTTATCGACTTTTTCCTCTTGAATTATAATCATTCGAGGAATGTGGAAGCGGAATTTGAGATATTGGGCGAGATTTATTAGTTTGATCTAAACTACACACACAGTCATTAGTTAGTCGCTTTACTACGCCTAGCTTCGGTCTCATTGGCGTCGCATCGATGCGCGGTCCGATCGTACTGTCCAACGCATATTGTATTACTAAACGCGCGGCATGTAACGACCGTAACAACGTCGCTTTTTTTTTTTTTTTTTGCGTCGTTAGTGTTGCGTAACGTTGTCCGTCAGCGCGTTCGCCGAATCCTACGTCTCTGTTTACTTCTATCGTACACGATTGCACACCATCTCGCGACGCGGCTTTTCACTATTCACCGTTTAGGTATATACACAAAAACGTTTTTCGTCGTCTTTCAGAACTAAATGTAAGTTCGCCACATCTCGCCTGCCAACGTTTTGGAATATAAGCTAAATTCATGTCTGTTTCTGTTAGATCGTCAAGCCTTAAAGAATCATTGCACGAATCGCGTTAATCGTTTGCATCGTTGGCGATTCTGCAGAAGGAAATAAAAGAGATTACTGGTTCCCAGAAGCGAGACGTTGATTCCGCTTGGACCTTGCACTCGATGAGCTGTCTCTCAATGAACAAATGAGCCGGCGCGATAAGCCGTGATCGATAAGATAGCGAACGTTCGTTTAATCATTGCGTTTCGCGGCTTGGAAAATGCGTGAGCATTTATCGGCGATCCTGCGATAATTGTACTCCAAATAAAAAGAATAACATCGCTGGTGTAACGATTTTGTGTGGCAGCAGGTATGCCGAATAATTTGACACAAAAGAGATGAAGAAGTCACCGAGATGCAGACTCGAGAATTATGTCAGACGTGTGTAACGAAGAGATCGCTGATTACAGTTTTATCAGTGTGACGATTGGTGCGATGATCATTACGACTGCATTTGGATTTCTCCCGGATTGCTCAGTCTAACTTTGACTGAGATCCATCTCGGAATCGCGATTGCATCATCGCGATGAATCCGTGGCGCGATTAATGTATACGAGACTTTTAAAGCGTGACGTAACATACCGACGGATTTGAATGAGAGAGCAAAAGTCGAATCGCGATTGGTCGCGAGCCCGAGGGCTCGCCCAGCCGATCCTCCCGCGTCGCACCGGTGACGTCACGACTAGCAGGTATCGATCGAAGGGACGGCCGTACACGAGCGCGGCCTTGTAGGGAGACCTTTTTTCCGGCTTTCTGGGAAGCTTTCTCTGCACTATAGTCGATGTGAAATCGATGTGAAATCGATTCTCAAAAAACCTAGGTGTCTGTTACACAGGATACATTAGCGCAGCGTTCGTTTTGTTCTCGCGATAAACAAACGCTGCTACTGTAGATGCAAGTACGTGCGACATGCGAAAACATGCGAGAGACGGTCCGAAAGTAAAGATTGAGCGTTGATAAGGCAAATACGTGAAATATGTAATGACGATGAGAGCGATAGCAGCATCGTCGGGAACAGTGTAAATAATGGGGCATGGGCGAGAGAAGGAACGAGTCCACCACTGATACCACCGCTCTGCCTCCTCCATGGCCTCCTTTCGCCCCACTCGACGGTTCGTCCGCGCGATGCCGTTCCTTCCAGTAAAACCACTGTGAACCGCTGCTCGTGCGGAACGTAGGACAAGTGCCGTCGTGTTCCAAACGTCCAGTCGTGATACGAACTCGCTCGCGCGACTATCGTGACTGTTGGACGAATCTGTTGTTCGCTGGTGCAATTTCTTCCTCCTGAATAACGACAGAATCGAGTTTCGCGCCATCGATTCTCCGCGATTTACTTATCGCCGATCGTTGGCCGCTCCAAACGACAATCACGAAACTGCTCGAAGGTTCCGCTGCCGGTTACGACGAAGGGTGGACCATGAAGACATCCACATTGTCGTGCAGTGACCTGATCAAGCAGGAGGTGAGCGTGTGCGGCTCAAAGCCGCAAGAGGCTCAAAGTGTGCGAGTCCTACCGAGTGGGTACGCGCGTGTGTGTATGTGTGTCGCGAAATGCGATATATCTCAATCGGATACACATGGAAGGTCGCGTGAGGAGGTTAGGTCAGAATCGTGACGCATACAATGTGATCGGGCTTACCGGCGGAATGTCGGAAGAACAGATTTATTTCAATTGTTGCTTCATCTCGACTTGATTTGAAAGTTTGGAGCACAACAACAGAAACATACAAACCTGTGTACTTTTGGTGTAAAATCGCGTGTCATTTGGCTCGAAAATTTAGAAGCAAGACAAGGTCGAGAGAAGTTGAGAAAGGTAGTGGAGGAGGGGAACGTTGAAAGTTTAAAGTGTAAAATGTGCGTGCTTGCGTATGTATGTCCAGTTGTCTGTACGTCTTACGAGATGTCAAGGTCATCATGCGATTTTGCCAACTAAAACCACGTGGTTTTTCTCGCGTATAAATAAATCGGTACTTATCGTGACATGGAATAAATCGACAGGCATGTCTAAACGTTAAGAGCAGAGTGAGATGAATAGCCAAAGAGGTGCCAAGTTGTAATTAATAGCTTCTAAATTCGTCAAAGATGACGATGTCGAGAGTGCGATAGCGGAGCTATCATGAGCTCGTACATGAGAACTCGACTGAAGAAGCGCGTCACACGTTGCAGTGTGTGTGACTGATAAGAATAGAGACAGGTGATGGCCTTATTATAACAGAGAAAGAGAGATCTGCTACTAAACGATTAATGCACAGCGTCTCATTCGTGCTTGGGTGTTGTATAAAAATTGTTTGTTTGAGCGGAGAAACACGTATATCGTATGCATTTTGCATACAAGTTTTAAACAAAAACGGGACATTGGCAGCAGAGAAAGCTGCTTTGCAACTATTGTAAAATTTGTGAATCTGATTGGTACATGCTCTTGGATTTAACCAAAATTAAGAGCATACTCCAATCAGATGCACGAATTTTATGGCTGAACGCAGCCATTGGTTTATCCTCTTTTTTTTTTTCTTTCTTTCTTTTGTTAACGGCTCAAATTTTATTATTCGCGCGACCAATGCCAGTTGCATGCTGTAGCAACCGGCTGATGTCCATTCATGAGCGATTTTATTGGCTGTTCGGGGCGGGTGTGTCGGCAGCAACGTCACTGACTCAGATCGATGTGCTTCACCCTTGTCACGCGGGATATAAGAGCGAATCGGCGGGAAATATAATGTCCCGCTGGGCATTTCGGTGGGCTCACTTGCACGCAATTTGACAAAATCATAGTTTTTTTGCGTAATCGGCGTATATATCATATCGCGAGTCGTATCGAGCAGTTTGAAAAGTATCGAAAGGTAACTGATGTACATAGACATTGTACTGGCATTAATTGTAGCATCACCCAGTAAATTTGAATACTCGCGCTTTTGGACAGTATAACCGTTAACCACGACTCCAGATAACTCTTTCTGCTTTAATTCCCCCGAGAACTCGGTTGTACTGCAGACGCAACTGCAGTTGTACAGAAGAAGAGAAAGAGAAGCGTTTCCTTACTTTATCTTTCGTTCACTCTAATTTCTCGATATCTTTTTAGGAATCTCGTTGTTGATTGATCCCGGCTGCTATTTCGCGTGTAGAAAACTTTTCTTTAGACAAGGCAACAACGATACTCTTTGTTTCGATACTTTGGACCATTTCAAAACGTACATGTAAAGCGACAATTATTCGTCGAAAAATAACGCAACGATCAACGCCAGTATTGTGTATTCTTTTCTGCTGATTGTGCTCGTGCGTTGTCAAGTTTGCGCAAATGTATGAACTTTGAAAACGTGTTTTAGGCAAGGAGAAAGCTTTCGACGGCGGGACATTTTTTGGACTTTTGTTATTACTAAATAATAAATGTCTCTCTTTCCGGCGTTATTACTAAATTTGCGGCGTTACCAAACTCCGCATCGACACGATCGGAGCGATAAGGAGACAAACAAACGATCCGTCGATCGATCATGTTCCAAGTTTTTCTCGGTTTATGCCCGGTAATATACTCGGTAACAACAAGAGAGCTGGCCAAAGGACGTTTCAAAGTCGTCCAATAACGCTACGGATCGATAACGAGTTATCCGTTTACATTTGTTCGCAGATACGAGATGCCTGCAAGGACCTCGTCCTGTCTGACGAGCAGCTCAGGCTGGTTATGCAAAAGCTCACCGACGAAATCAACAGAGGCCTGTCCAGGGAAACTCATGAAGATGCGATCGTCAAGTGTTTTACCACGTACGTGCAGGATCTGCCGAACGGCACCGGTAAGCGAAGGCTTTCGATTAAGCTGATTGTAATTCAATGGCACAATCGCAAGTACTGTCTGTACTTTGTCTAGAAAAGGGCAACTTTTTGGCGCTAGACCTGGGTGGCACGAATTTCCGAGTGCTACTGATCACATTGGACGGTCAAAACTTTGATATGAAGAGCAAGATTTATGCGATACCTCAGAGCTTGATGTTGGGCACGGGGGTTCAACTATTCGATCACATCGCGCAATGTTTGGCCTTGTTCGTGAATGACCTAAAGCTGCAGAACGAGGTGTTGCCGTTGGGCTTCACTTTCAGCTTTCCTCTCACCCAGTACGGGCTCACAAGGGGTAATCTAGTGAGATGGACCAAGGGATTCAACTGCAGCGGCGTGATCGGCGAGAACGTGGTCGCGCTTCTTGAAGAAGCGATTGGCAGAAGAAACGTGAGTACAGTAGGGCCGCCGCCGCAGTAGTTTCTTACCCACTCGAAATCGATCGGTCGCAATCTTTCCGCAGGACGTCAAGATCGACGTGTGCGCAATCCTGAATGACACCACCGGCACCCTAATGTCGTGTGCTTGGAAAAATCAAAACTGTCGGATCGGTTTAATCGTTGGTACGTAATGTAACCGATTAGACCAACGCTGCAAAGTGCCTATAGACACCGCATCTTTCAAAAGTAACACTCGATTTCTTCTTTCGGCTCGTAGGTACCGGTAGTAATGCTTGCTATGTCGAGAAAACAAGGAATGCGCAATGCGCGATCCCGAGCAATTACGCCGCGCACAAGCCGGACATGCTGATCAACACGGAGTGGGGTGCTTTCGGCGAAAATGGCGTGCTGGATTTCGTGACGACCGAGTTTGACCGGGCCATCGACGAGAACTCCATCAATCCCACGAAGCAGTTGTTTGAAAAAATGATCTCCGGTATGTACATGGGCGAACTGACGAGACTGGTGCTCGAGAAGCTCGTCAACGCCGGTCTCCTGTTTGGCGGCAAGTGTCCCAGTGACCTGAGGAAACGTGGCAAGTTTTTCACGAAATACATCTCAGAAATCGAAAAGTGAGTATAAATTTATACTGCTCTTGACGAGTTCCGCAAGAAAGAAGAAGAGAGCAGGCCATTAATGACTCGAAACGTCATATTTCAGCGACCCCAAGGGCAAGTATACGAATTGCCGCGATGTGTTGGCCGAATTGGGATTGCGGAACGTGAGCGACCAAGACTGCGAGAACGTAAGGTACGTGTGTTCCGTGGTGTCGAGGCGAGCGGCACACTTGGTGAGCGCGGGGATCGCGGCACTCCTCAATAAAATGGGCGAGAACGACGTGACGGTGGGCATCGACGGCTCGGTGTATCGCTATCATCCACACTTTCACGATCTTATGGTGGCTAAGATCGGTGAACTTCAAAACTACAAGGTAAGAAATAGAGATTTTATCAGTATTATATTTGCGAATATTCCACGCGTAACGGATCAATACAACTCGCTACTTTCTTCTTACTTTCTTATCTTCTCCTTTCCGCTCGACAGTTTGACCTGATGCTCTCGGAAGACGGCAGCGGCCGTGGTGCAGCACTCGTCGCCGCGGTGGCGTCGCAGAACCGGTGAAGGCGCTTCTGATTGATAGAGCAAGATAGCCCCAATTCAATTACACGCAACAGAAAAACAAATAAACAGCAGTGGACGGACGGCAGTGGGTGCGGTGCCAGTGAACTCTATCTTAATTGTGGAACACGCGCTATTAGTGTTCTCTCGGATGACTCGACCCAAGGGACACAGCCAATTGTGGTATCTCCATTTCTTTCGAATATACTCTGTTCTCTTTTCTATGGGCTTTGTTATTTTATGGAGAACACTAAGATGTAAAATTCGTTATTTTACGGGTAACACAAAGTCGTCACGAGGTTCGATAATGTACATTACCTGCTCTAGGACAGAGTTCACTGGAGAAAGTCGATCGAGCGCGCGCAAGTGACGAGCAATGGAGCGAGTGTGAGCCAACGAGTGAAAGCGAGAGAATGAGTGTGAAAAAATTAAAAGTCTCCTGTCTGTTCCAGCTGTATTTTCCGCTTTTTGTTTCTCTCTCCTTCTGTCCTTTATCTCTGTTCTTCTTAATTACTCTAAAGCATGAATGGCCCAATAAAAGAGAAGAGAGAAAGAACATTCGAGAAGAGTGTTCCGAGCGTGTGTGTGTCCGTCTGTCTGTTATAAAACAGATATTAAGACAACAAATATATACAGGGAATTCTTTGCAATTGTTTTTTATGTCAATAATAAAATCAATCTCTCGAACGTGTCAATGCACAATGCTTGAAATTATTACAACCAACCTAACACGCAATCACACGCAATCTCACACACACACACACACACACACACACGTAGGACACTGTATATAATTTGGTTCTACCAGCGAAAAGAGCAAAAGCAAAAGGGCATCCAACGAAAATGTTTGGGAAACAGTTGTCTTTCTCTGTACTGTGCTCTGATGCCAAACTAAAAGCACCTCTGTATGATCTATCTAGTTATAAGACGAAAAATAAAGGGAAAATGCAGTTGGAATAAACATCTAGACTGCCCCGCGAGGAATAACTTGTACATAGAGCACAAAAAAAACTAACTTAGCGGACTAGAGGACGATGAATACTTAGTAAATGTTCCTGCGAAAAGGCAACAAGTCAAAGAGGACATAGACATCCTTTTGGTTGTCGAATACAATAATCATCGATTAGCGATCGCAATTTGTTCATAAATTCTGCCTATCTACTTATCATAGAACTATCAATGGACTTGGAAGAAATATGATCATGTGAATTGTACGTATAGAATTATTGGATTGTGTGCTAGGAAAATGACCCCGGATGTATCGATTGGAGAGTCACTGTGTAGATAATCATTATTTTCATCCAGTTAATAAATGTGTAAAGAGTTAAAGAACGACAGGTTGTCGAGAATGGCTGCGTCAATTGTTAACTATTGATAAGAAAACGAATTGAATAGACGATATTAAAATCTTATGTGTGTTACACCTTGTTCACAACCTTGCTTTAATCTTTAAGCCGTAAGAAATTAAAGCAAGGTTGTGGACAAGGGGTAAGAGACGCGCTTGAGATCGCGTATCGATTGTGAAACGACAAAGAATCGATAGGTTCAAATAAATAAATATAGCTTGCCTTGGATATTTTGTTGGGTTATTATTATTACTATTATTATTTCAGTTGTGGTCCATCTATTATTAGACTCTGTACAGGGTGTCCCAAAGCTATTAAATATCAAAATATCTTGCTCTCGAAAAATCGAGACTTTTTTACATACTAAAAGTATAAAGAATAATGTTGTTATCGTATATACATACATGTTGACGCTGAAAATAAATAAATATATAGATATATAAGTGATATATAAACTTATTAACCTGACCCTTGCCATTGAATATAACATTTTCTTCCTTATCTTTTTTTCGTGACAAATCGAAAACGATTTATTGCGGAAATGTAAGGCTCCTGGATACTCGGCGCAGTCATCTCGACGACGTCAAAAGTGGGCAAGTACATGCCTGAATTTCCTTTAAAGTATGTCGAAATAAGAAGATATATCCTAAAAAATGACGCAGGCGATCAAGCACACCTCCAGAATAAAGTTAACGTGAGGAAATATGTAGAGGTTAAGAAAGCATGTCACGTTAATTTTACAGTCATTTATTGATTCTTAAAGCAAAAGGAAAGGAGTATTTTGTGCTTAATCGATGGCAAGTGTCATTTTTCGGATATATCTTTAGGCCTGTTCTTTGTAGCTAACTGCTGAACTGGTGCGATATATTGAAGTGAGACAAATATATGTTCTTTTTTTCACTCTAACTTATTGCCCTAGTTCAGCAGTGCAGCTATAAAGAAAGACCTTTTTTCTTTCGACGTATCTTGAAGGAATTTCAGACATGCGCTTCCGACATCGTACATCAAAATGACTGTGACGAATAACCGTAAAAGAAGGATATACCACAAGATACGCGTTAAAGCCCGTCTAATTTAATAAAACTGACTGAAAACAAATAAAGACCAATTGGACAATACTATTAAAAGAAATGGTGAAAATCAACATATAAAGAGAGAGAGAGAGAGAGAG